AGTAAAGATGGTTTCTCCAGTTGTGGGAGTACATCAGTTAAAAAACAGATATTATTATTGTTGTGATTGGGTATGCAAAAGTTGGATCGTTAGTTACTTCCTAAGTAGCGCCTATATAAGAAAGATATTTTTTATTAATTTGCTAATAATGTATAATAATGCAACTAAGGAATTCATTATCCACGATGCCTATTCTTGTCAAACTTATTCTATGGCATGCCGATCTTTAGCTATTATTTACTACTTCCGTCCCATAAAAATTAAATTTATAGAGAATTAATGACATATTAGTAGGATAGAAAAATGACTAAAATAACCTTATTTAATGAACATAGTACATGCACACATTCCATATATAAACTTGATTAAAAGGAATGTCACGACAATGGGTTAGAAATGAGATGGAAGGAAAGAAGATTACAAGGAAATGCAATCAGTTTACTGGGTCCCACATTAGTAGAAATATAATTTTTATGGGACAAAGGTTTAAAGCTAGAAATTCAATTTTTATAGAACGGAGATAGTAGTTTCCTAGGTTTATTTTTATGGGACGTAAAGAGTAGGCATACCGTTTACGTGGGTAAGACAAACCGGATAAAATCACATTTTGTTTTAGGAACAAAAGGAGTTGGCCTACTGTTTATGTGGGTCGGACAAACGGGCTTCACCCGGTTTTGCAAACCAAAAGACGAAAATTAAAATGAGCGTTAATGAGCTACTCCCTCCGTCTCCATAAGTGACGGACAGACGGACGTATAATTTATCCGTTGAATATTGTACAGAGTAAATTACACTGGTGGTCCTTAAACTTGTAAGCAAGTTTTATCTAGGTCCATAAACTTATAAAGTGTATATCATGGTCCCTAAACATGGTTTATTATATCATCCCGGATCACGGTCCAAAATCTCATTTAACCATGGTCTTGCCTACGTGGCATGCCATGCAGACGACGACATGGCACATTGTTGTTGTTATTATTATTATTATTATTATTATTATTATTATTATTATTATTATTATTATTTCTCTCTTTTTCCTCTTTCATTTCTCTCTTCTTTGTTCTCTTCCTCTGAGAGTAGTGACGTTTGGCGACGATGACAGTGGTCAGCACGGGGGAACTCGAGGAGGAACAAGATAAAAGAAGAGTAGGAAAAAGAAAAGGGGAAAAGGAAAAAAAATACCATGTCATCATCCGTGTGGCGTGCCACGTTGACAAGACCATGGTCAAATGACGCTTTGGACCAGCATGATATAATAAATCAAGTTTAGAGATCTCGATGTGTACTTTACAAGTTTCTGGACCTAAGTGAAATCTCATGATAAGTTTAAGGACCGTCAGTGTATTTTACTCTATTTTATATGTACTATGTCTAATACTTAATGAACTAGATTAGAGAAGTACTTCCTCCGTCTTTTTTTTTTTACGGATGGACTAGATGATTTCAAATAATTATGCTTTACTAAAGTATTGTAAACCAAAAATCTAGGAGAAGATAATTTCTTAGATTAAAAAAAGACAAAACATAATATTATACTTAGTCGAGTAGATATATGTGTAATACATGGGTTTTTCAATAAATACAAGGAATACCTACCGTGTCCATCACTAATCCGTGTAAGACTATAATTTTAACCTGTCAAAAATAGGTTAAGTAGAAGGCTAAAAAGATCACTACATCCCTTCATTAATATGGAAAGAAAACAAGAACGAAGAAAGGAGATTATTATTATTAGTTTGATGGCTAATACCACGGCAACTGTAGAAGGAGAGGCGGCGGTGGCTCGATCTCGGCGGTGAAGAGGGGAGAGAGCTTGAGCGGGCGAAGATGAGGGAGGGGTGGAGAAAGGGAAGAGGAGCGTATCCGCCGATGAAGGGAAGAGAGAGAGGTGGAGAACAACAGCGTTGGAGATCGGGCTATCAATGTTGGTGTTTGGTGGAGGGAAGGGGTGGGATGAAAATAATAAAGGTGAGAGGCCGACAGCAAGACTATTATGTGGTTAGAGTATATATGTGTTTTTTTACAAGGACTGAAGCATAAAAGTTTTTATTGATTTGGTAATAAAAATAAGAATAGCTGACATGTAAAAATATAGGGGATAAACGAGAAAGCTCTTAGCGGTAGCATCCATGGAAGGATGATGTGAACTATTCGTGGTCTTAATTTATATATGGCAACCTAAGACCACTGATAACAAGTGTTCTCCATCGTAGACGCCCTTATGGCGGTGATCATGAACAAACCCGATTTTGTTCATTATTCAACCGCACCTACTTGCTCACAGATGCCTCAGCTTCCAAATTCAACCGCAGTATCGTTGAGGCTTTGTTCGTAGAGTGAAATTCCAAATTCCTGCACAGAAAATGTGGTGGTTATGAATTTATAAATAATTAATTATCAGCTTAAAATTTTTCAAAATGAATTTATATGATTTTTTTGAATACAACTTTTGTATACACTTTTTTTAAAAAAAAACACATAGGGCATGTTCACTTTGTTGTCATTTTTAACCTTCTCCAAATAACTATAATCAGTTATTTGGTAACTGATCATAGTTATTTAATAATATTTTTTTATCAAAGTGAACAAGCCCATAATTTAGGAAGGGTGAAAAAACGAGAGTTGAGTTGGAAAAGTCACCTTCTAGTACTGTGATCAGTCCTTCGAATTTTGGAAGGAGTCCGGGCTAAATTAAAGGTAGACACAGAACGGGCACACAATGAAAGGACGCGCGAGAACGCGCCTTTTCTGGTTCGCCACTGCCCCGGCCACGCCATCCGCCGCTCCTCTGCACTACTAGAACTTGCATGCGCTGGGGCCCAACCTGTCAACAACGCCAATCGGTGCCCCCTCCGTGCCCGCACGTCCCAGTCAATGCCCCCACTCTCCATCGCACCACGCCTCACCCGTCTACGTCCCCCGTTAGTCCGTTACGTGCACCACTGCTTTTCTCCTCCGCCCGCCCTGTTCGAAGTCACGATCTTACCCTTAGCCGTGGGCTCAGCGCCGTCTACTAGTATTTCCAAAATACTACTACATTTATATTCGTAGGCTGTGTTTTGGTAAGAGGTTAAAAATTTTTACAGTGTCATATCGGATATACGGAGACGAATTTTTAAGCTTAAGTAATCCGTTATTAGTAAATGTTTGCTGTAGCACTACATTATGAAATCATGGAGTAATTAGGCTTAAAAGATTCGTCTCGCAAACTAGTTGCAATTTGTGCAATTAGTTATTTTTAAGCTTATATTTAATACTTGATGCGGGTGTTCAAACATTCAATGTGGTAGAGTGAAAAATTTTAGGGTGTGATCTAAACATGACCTTTTTTACTACAACTAATGAGAGCATATTTAGTGAAAATTTTTGGGTGCCAAATCGGACGTTTGACTGGATATCGGAAGGGGTTTTCGGACAAGAATGAAAAAACTAATTTCATGACTCGCCTGGAAACCGCAAGACGAATCTTTTGAGCCTAATTAATCTATCATTAGCACATGCGGGTTAGTGTAGCACTTATGGCTAATCATGGTCTAGTTAGGTTCAAAAGATTCGTTTCGTGATTTACATACAAACTGTGCAATTAGTTTTTCTTTTTATCTACATTTAATATTTTATATATGTGTCAAAGATTCGATGTGATGTTTTTTTAGAAAAGTTTTTAGGAGCTAAACAGGCCCTGGCCCTGAACTGCTACTACTCCAGTAAAGCTAGTGATGGAATAGTAGAATTTAATATGCACGTTACCTTCTTTCTGGCTTCTGCTACGGTTATAAAAAGTTGAATCGGATCAATCAAGATTGTAAGGAAAAAGGTTAACAGTACGTCAGAATAAATAAAATGCATGGCACTGCTAGACGTGACCGTAATGCAGAGCTAACGCCATGCTCGGTGGAGTAACGCTCCCGTGTACTCGCAGCAGGCGCCGCACTAAGAATTAGGTGTACCAAGCAGGCGAAAACAAATTCCTCCGGAAGAAATGGTACTCCTACCACCAGTACAGGCCAGAACAAACAAGCGAGCGGTAGTAAAAGGCGGGGAAAGCGGCAAAGCTTCCGAAGGCGGGGCGCGCGCGGTGGGTCCCACGGCGAGGAGAAGCTGCCGCCGCGCGAATCACTGCCTCCAGATGCCCGCCCTCGCGCGCCGCTGGCCCACGTCTGTCGGCCGAGACCACGCCCGGTCCTCGCGCATATCGCCATGCGCCCGCCCGAACACGCGCCTCCCGCACCGCCCACTACGAGCCCGCCACGCCATCCGAAGCCTCGACACCCACACGGGCCACAGGCCGAGCAGCGCGCGCTGATCACCGGCCGCGGCCTGGATGGGGGGCTGGCAGCCGCGCACACGTAGCCTGGAGACGTCGCCCACACGCACACGTTATTCTCAAGGTCACGAGGAGAACAACAACGCAGCCGCGATTCCATCGTACGAATAGATCGACGGTGCTAGCGAAAGATGCAGGCACCCCACCGCACAAGGCGCTCCCCCATCCACACTTGTCTCCTTCCATGCCCACTGCCTGTACAGCCACTATTTACGTTGCTTTTCATGGATTAGATCTCCGGCTAACCACCACCGTCTCTATACCGCGTGTCAGTAATGTGAACGATTTGATAATAATTCTTCGCCGCAATTGTACTGCTAGGAACGGAATTTGTGCAGCGCTGAGCTGTTGTTTTCGACTAGAAACACATTGCAGTAACTTTATGGCGCGCCTCTACCCTGCCAACCGTCAAAAGATGAAAAGTGAAGGAGCGTTAAACAAGCCCTGTTTGAGTAGTAGCATTCGTCCAATGAAATGCGTCATTTGCATAGCCATTAATCGTCGTGTCGCATAGATGGCAACAAACTACTACTCCTGCGAGTACTCTCACTATGATGGACGGCAAAAACGCACCGGCGCTAATAAATGAGAGCGTATGTTTCTCAACCATGCATCTTACCTTTTGGATCGAAAGACCAAAAATAAAAACGTCAATCAAACTCAGTGTGCACAGATATTTTTGTGACTTTCTGAATAATTTCTTCATACTAATATAAAGGAATACATACACTCCACGGTTTAGTCCATCTCATCGCCGGCATGATCTGTTCTAATTAACAGATCCCAAGATGAATTTCGCCCTCGGCAGAAAAACTATTTACAAGGCTCTTCCGTCTCTCACAGGCTACTAAACAAAAACACAGAGGACCAAAACATCGGAGAGAAATATCCATCAAAGAAGAAAATAAGAGAGAAACTACAAAGTCGTCAGCTAACCCATCCTGAGCTAGTTCTCTACCGGCGGCGGCCGGTTCAGATCCAGATCGAAAGCTGCCGCCTTGTTCGCCGTAACCGCTGGAGGTGACGGCGCGAGATCAACCACCGACGAGGAGTCGGAGTCACTTTGTGCAACCGCCGCCACGGTGACCGGCGGTGCAAGCTTCATCATACGGTATCCAGCCTCAGCTGCGGCAGCCGCTGCAGCCTGCTCATAGAAAAAGTAAGGATGCGTTGCTGGACGTGCAACGGGATATCCTCTGAAAGGAAAGCGAACGCCGGTGCCGGCGACTGCAGTCACAGCAGCCGCGCGGTGGAACAAATCCAAGTCCAGAGTCGGCGGCAGAGGCATGGCCCGCATAGGCGTCTGAACCCCGCCGCCACCGGTGTCTACCGTGCTATTGCTGCTGGGGCTGCCGCCACAGCCGACCATCGACTGTGATGCAAACGGAAAGTTTGTTTTTGCCTTGGCACCCCGGAACTCTCGAGCGGCGGCGTCGTAGGCGCGGGCGGCCTCCTCTGCCGTGTCGTAGGTACCGAGCCACACCCGGCTCTTCTTGGCAGGGTCACGGATCTCCGCTGCGTAACGCCCCCACGGGCGCTTGCGGACGCCCCTGTAGTGAGGACCCCCGGCTCCGACACCTCCGCCGACGCCAAGACCAAGCCCGGTGGGTGGCGCCACAGCAACCTTCTCCACCGTAGCTGCTCTGGGCGCCATGGGTGCAGCAGGTTTACAAGTGGCGGGCGCGGATCTCTGGTAAACCGGGTGGGTGTTTTGGGAGGTTGGGTTTGGGTGTGTGTGGCGTCTAGGATAAGGAGAGACAGGGGAGGCCGTATTTATAGAAGGGCGAGGGGTTAAAAAAAACGCAGCTGGGAAAAAGGGAAGCGAGTGGTGGAGCGGCGGTAGGGAATAAAACTCGGCGCAGTCAGCGAGCGGTTTGACTGTCCTCTCCTTGCCGCCGCCCCTCGTCTTTAGCGAGGCGGCATTAAAATTAGGCGAGCGCTTTTCCGTTTTGGCCACTACAACTGCACCAATTTTGGAAACGTATGGCAGCTGTTAGGGTCAGTTTTGCATCTCAGTCCCCATGATTTATGGTGTTTTACGGTAAAATTTTTGGCTGTCACGCTAGTGGGACTGTATAGCATGCCACAAAGCTTGTTATGTGAAATTACCCCTCCGTCCGAAAATATACTCCTTCCGTTCCCTATCGCCGCTTCAGGATTGTTTTTTTTAACGAAAGAAGTGTGTTTCAAAATATAACGATTTTTAGCCTATTTAAAAAATATTAAGGTTAGCTAAAATGCTTTATTTTTAGTTGTTTCAACTTGTTAATTTTTAAATTTTGAATTGCATAGATTCCCTTTCTAGGCTTTTGATTGGTTTTAGCATTATTGAAATAATGATAATCATATGAATCAATATAATATTATGTGTATCGTGATAGAAAATTTGAATAAAAGATTCTTATATTTTAGGACGGAAGGAGTAAGTGATTAATTATATTTTTAAGGAAAAAATCAATTGAAACCTAAACTAATCAAATTTAGGGTGTATTTAGTTCACGCTAAAATTGAATGTTTGATTGAAATTGAAACGATGTGACGGAAAAGTTAAAAATTTATGTGTGTGAAAAAGTTTTGATGTGATGAAAAAGTTAAAAATTTAAAGAAAAAGTTGGGAACTAAACAACAGGTCTTATGTAGTGAAACTCTGCTTTTGCAGGGAGCCCTAATGGTGGCTGGTGGGAAATGAAACGGCTGGGCAACCAACGAGATGCTTCCGCCGGCCGCCGGGGGCGCGCGGGGAAAAGCGTCCGAACGCGAGTGCCAGAATGGAAAAAGGCTCCCAGATTATCCCAAAAGCGAAGCGAGGAGGGGGGAGGAGGAAGCAAAGCCGCCGCTCGGGACGCGGCCCCACCTGGAGCGGGGGGCGGCACGTAGTGCGAGCACGTCGCGGGCGGTGCGGGCCCCACGGCGAGGAAGACGACGCATCACGATCCGTGCGTCCCGAGCTGGGGTCAGGCGCGGGCGGGGGCAGCGTCGGCGTCGGCATCGGTATCGGCAGCAGGCGGCCTGCGCGTAAAGACACGTGGGCCGCGGCGGCCACCACCCTCCACGCTGTCGTCGTGTTCCGCGCACGCCTCCCGCGCCAACGGATCGTCAACTTTAGCTAGCCGAGTCTGAGCGGCGCGTGTTGGGGGGAGGAACCTTGTCGTGCGGGGAAATTTTGGTGCCGCAAGCAAAGATACGCCGCTCGTAGACGGACCCGCTCGCCGCTCGCATCGGATTTGGAATATTTGGTTTTCGGAAGCCACTGATGCTTCCTGTGTTTTCGTGGTGATAAGAAAAAAAGCTTACGTGATGCTTTTCTGTGAATAGACCAGGAGTGTTGGCTTTTCTTTTGGCGCCAGTAGTCGTCACCAAATGATGCATCATGACAACTGATGCAACTATTTCGAAAACAGGCATGACCGAAGGTCTAAAATCTTACTACTGCACAAATTTGAGTCAATTATTTGTAGCAAAAGATTTCATTATACGTTGTACGAGTACGAGAAAGAAAAGTCATGAGAAGCCTAACTACACTGACTTCGTTTGGTACTCACCGGGAGCTTTAGTTTCTACGTGCTCACGAAATTGATGATTCATCGAGCACCATATGCTGTTACTAGTACAGTTTCGGAGTATAGTACCATCTACCGATGTTAGTCTCAAACATGTCTAACCTTATCAGTCTTTCGCGGCAGAGAAAAAAAGGTTTTCCTCGATCCAGCTATGCGCTATCCACGTTGAGTGTGATTGAGGAGCTACTTTTGAGTTGAGTATACAAGAAACTATGCAGCTCTCGTGAACCTCACAAATCGGCAGAGAACACCCAGGACGCAGAAGATCACCCGACGGTGCGCGCTAACGGCGATCGCGGAGAGAGCGTGGGGCGCGGCGCGCGGTGGGCCTGGCTGGCGGTGGCGGCTCCGCGGGCGGGCGTGCTGCTTGGATCGCGGGGACGTGGGGCACCCACCGCTACCGCTGCTGGCTGCGCCTGCGCTGCGCCACTGGGGGCAGACGGGCGGGCGCGGGTTTCTTTTATTTCGAGGCGCAGGCGCGTCCGTCGCCTAGACCGACAGTTTAGTACAGCCGCCCCCGTGCCACCCACCCACGCGCGCGGCGAGGGCACCGGCACGCGCCGGTTCCCCGCGGATTGCGTGATGCCGCCGCGCGCGCCGCTTCCATCACACGCTTGCGGCAGCGGGGCGCTAGCTGCCACTTTCGTGATGGACCGGACGAATGAATTGCTAGGCGTACCTATGACCATGTACCAGGCGCTGCTAGCTACCATCCATTTATGAGTCGGATGGATAGGACATCAAGCGCCCCACCTTGCCGACGCATCAGTTCCCGATTCTGTTATCCTCGACGGCAAAGGCTGTGATTAGTTGTATCCAAAATTTGGATTTTGGTTGAAATTAGAGATGATGTGATTGAAAAGTTGTGTGTATAATAGGTTGATGTGATGGAAAAGGACGGAAGTTTGAATCCTAATTTTGAATCTAAACACAGCCAAAGCATACGAGCTCGGAATCGTCCAGACGCTACTGTCTCAAAGGAAGCATAGCAATACTAGTACAGTATTTATTTTAGAAAAGGGAAGCACTCAAAATCACTGGCATCATTGGTTGGCATACTAAGCCAAAGAAAAACTTAATTTTAAAATATTTTCAATATAGAGTAGTTTTTTTAACATTAACATTTATATCGCTGAAAACAAATATATAAAAATATAACTTATAAAAGTTTATTAGGGAATATCATCAACTGATGAGGTTGCATATTTTATCAGACTCAGGGTTCACAAAACCGATGGGATTTCGTGAAAACCGATCGGCTTTCATGAAACCGTTAGGAATCAGTTTATAAAAATTGGTTGTTATTAGTCAGTCATCGTACGGCGTTGACCGAAAGTCATCGGTTTTTACCGGTTTTGGCAAACCGGTGAGGAACGATTTTTACTTCAAAATCGAAAAGTTAAACCATGGTCGGACTTCACATCTCCCTGGGCAAATTATATACTACCTCTACTCAACGATACAAGTATTTCAAGTCCAACTCGGTTTTTGTTAATTTCGAATACTTAAATTATCAAGCCACTAAAAAAACTACTAGTATGTTAATATTCCAAACCGAATACAACTCCACGTTTATTAATTCCAATATTTCTGAATTATTAAACCATAAACATAGTAACATAGTAAATAGAGAATCCAAGGCAAATACAACTAGGCTGTGTTTAGATCTAAAGTTTAGATCCAAACTTCAGTTCTTTTCCATCACATCAACCTGTCATACACACACAACTTTTCAGTCACATCATCTCCAATTTTAACCAAAATCCAAACTTTGCGCTGAACTAAACACAGCCCTAGTAGATTACTAATTCTGGTTTTGACAATATTAAAATAACATACTAAAAAGTGACACAAAATATATTACATCCGTCCATAAAAGGACACAGTTTTACCTTGTCAGATATTACTAGAGACTAAGCATTAGTATAAATGACCACTATGTCGTTCATAAATTTGGAGATAAAACGAGAAGCAATGAGACAGTAGCTAACAATTGCTAGATTGTTGGATTGAATATTTTTTGGGGGGCATATATAAATACGTTTTCGTAACTCATGCGCCTAGGGAAATACGGAGTAATAAGGAAACTAATTGAAGTAGGAGTATATGTAGGCTGCCAAAAGTTACTCATAAGTCATAACCAAAGCGCTACTTCATCTATTTCAAAATATAACAACTTTCAACATTTAAAATATAATCAACTTCTTATCAATATTTTATTCTCAACTAATCACAACTATCAGTTATTTAATTTTTTTATCTAGTTACCACCCATAACCTTTCCTCGTTTAATTTTATCTACTAACTTTTAATAACGGTGTCCAATATTGACGGAGGTAGTAGCGAGTAGGGAATATTTGGGTGGAGCTGTTTCTAGCGGCAGCTAATGCACCCCACTTTGGAGACGGAATTATTGAGGAAGGAATTTATGGCGCCGAGGTGGAGTTGGACTGATGTGGTGGTGTGCCGCGCGTGGGTCGCCACTGTTCCACGCACTTGGTTTGGCCGCGTCGCTAATAAAATCCGGACACATTAGCGTAAACAAAATCTACGTACACGGGGCGTGGCCCCACTACCCAGCCACACAGCTGGCAGGTGCGTATCCATCGGGCCGTATCCCTATTCTTTTATACGCCGTCGAAAAGGACGGGTGGGGACTGGGGACAGGGCGAAAGAGACACGCTGAAAAAAAAAGGACGCGAAAACGAGAGTGGGGAGAGAGACCCGGCCGTCTTCTACGTGCCGCCTCACCAAATCAGTCGTGGAGAGGGGCGCGTGGGTCAGCATCGCATCTCACCCTCGCGAACGGCGCGGCGCCAGGTGGAGATACGGGGCGTGGACGCAAGGGATTGCCCGGCGACGCCGGCACTTGTCCCGTTATGTTTTTCCTTTCCTTGGTGGCGAATGATGCCAGTGGCGGGCGGGGCGGGCGGCGTGGACCGCGCGGCGCCTACCGGGTCCAAGTCGTTATTATCCCTCCGCTCCCACTTGACGTCTCGACCTGCCGCTGCGTAAACAACGCGGCTTGGCGTGCCGGCCTCGCCGGCCCGTATCTCACCTTTGGAATTCGGCGACGGTGGTGGGAGAAGCGGTTGAGTCTACTTGGGTGGGCCCTACCGCTGCTGGCAAACGTAAGCTCCACAGGTCGATACTCCACGTCTCCACGTCTTCATCTTTGGATTTGGATTGTTATTACTCCCTCCAT